GACTGCATTTCCTGACGTTCATCTTGTGATATTGCCTGCCCGTTCAATATTATTGGCCAATATGAGCTGAATGCAGATAAATCTGCAGCTGACAGCTCCTTCAGTCACGTTATGAGTGTTGTCATTGCATAGTTTGTCCACCAGAGGGCACTCTATAATAATAAAACTGCATTATGTCAAGTAATCTTGGTGAGGTCTTGGTGAGGTCTCTACACATAAGAAATGTTTGGGATAATCTTTGTTTATGTTATGTGTTTCTGAAAAGAAGGGGGGGAAAAGAATATTGGATTTATATTCCTCCAATATCAAAATCAGTATCGGTCTTAGACATCGGTGTAGACATTTAGGGGCAGACACACCTACACTGACTGCAACAACAGAATAGGAATTCCATTCATACACATGTAAAAGGCAAGAGAATCAAATAATGGATGCACTACAATCATCTTGATGGCAAAACATGACTGTTTACTGTCAATTTAACAGAGGTTACTGGCCCTGCAATGTGATACATGCATTAGAAAGCCCTTGCTAGTTGTGTCTAGGTTATTTTTTCCGCCATCTGACAAAACATGCATGTGTGCTGTAGTGATATACAATAATTATGATTTTCTGTACACAGAATTACTGAACCATACTGAACACTTACTACCTGATTCAAAACTATGACTCCAATTCAAATTTGGCAAGAACACAACTGTAAGCAATATTTCCTCTAATTCATATAAAACAGAGAAAACATGTCTTTTCAGACTAGAGATACACAATGACCAGAAAAACAGAAAACACTGGTCTGTTTTGTGTTGGATCATTCTGGCCCTAACGACAGCTGCCAAACATTTTGGCAGTGATTCAACAAGAAACTACTTCATGCAACTGCCCATGGTTGATAGGTATAGGGAGGCTACGCTCTATCGATGTTGTATTTAAGTTAATTTAATATGTGTGGGGGCCACTCCATTTATCTCATTTGACCTGAATGTCCCTATTTCAGTCTGGACCAATGCAGGGCTGGGCAGAAAGGCCAAAAATGTTATCCCGATTAAAAAAAAATATCATACCATTCGATATCGATAATTATCACGATAAATGTCAAATCATTATATCTTATTTCTTTTGTGGTCTGCAGGATGCACTTGTATGCCAGCTGAAAATGAAAGTTAAAGCCCGATGGATACTATATTTGTAACGCCAATACTGATAAAGATATTCAGGAGCTTCAAAAATCAAATAAATGCCAATAATATACAATAACACGTAATATACACAAACAGTCTTGATATAGATCCCTTAGATTTGTTTTGTTTTTTAAAATTGTGATCAACATACATACTAAGAGGGACATTTAACAGTTGAAAAATAAACTTCTGCAACCATCTGCAGACTCTGAGAACTCTAGAGAACTGAGCTGTAAGGCAGTCAAAAGGTATGAAATCTAACATTTGGAGCATCAGTATCACCTCTCCACACAGAGTTAACTTGACTATCCGCCTACGCTGTCACAGTTGCTAGATCCAAAGCCTGGTATTAAGAGTAAAATGTAACTTTCCATGGAGCTGAAGGAAGAAAGACTTTTAGGTACAGAGGAGATAAACAAGAAACTCATGTCAACACACTTATCAACACATAGTGTACCTAAATAAAATGTAAAAATATATTTGATCAGTTGTGAAATTGAGACAGCTTGACTTATCAACAGAAGGGCTCTTACAGTCCCCTCTGTTATGAAACCATCATTAGTGCTTTGTGTGCTTAGTTGGAGTCCCCGTAAAGAGGCAGAGGCAAAGGAGAAAATGAGAAATCTTCAATTTGCTGATAAGCAGCCGAGTTAGAAATACTCTATAGACACTAAACAAGCTAAATATAATTGCTTCACAGTACTGAGGGAAAGTGACTACAGTCTCTCCTAACTTAGGCTTTGTTAGTAATTGAAGCTGCAACTTTTAAAAATTATGTATCTAAATTATTTTAATCATAAAATGTGATTTTTTTCTGTCAGGTATTAAAGGGGCCATTTTGCCGACATATACATGAATGGTGCATGTGACTATATACATTGTCCTTGCACAAGACTGTTCTTTTTGCAGTTGTTTTATGCTGTGATGTTATTTATATTTAGATGTTCTTTTTGCGTAGCATTATGTTATTCTGATGACTGCGCATGTGATGCAAGAAAAAATTTCGAGACAAAACACAAAAACTTATAAGTATATGCCATCAGAATAGAGTGATCACACAGCTGTGACAAAGATATGCGTGTACTGAGGAAGGTTCTTATACAGGTACCAATAGGCCTTATTCACAGAACACATTATGACTTGACAAAGCAGGAAAAGCCTAACTCATAACATTAACAATGGCTGAGCCAGCAGCACACACAATACCAGGACGCTGCAACTGAAGCATTTAAATTTAATTCAGCCATTATTCGTTTTATTAATTATACTTGTGCTTTTCCAGCTGTAACAGGTCAAAATGTTTGTTGTGGAAAAAGCACTATAACCCACCATGTCAAGGGTTACAGTCACAGTAAACGTGACCCTAAATGTATTATACTAAACGGCATATTATCTGCAAATCATCAACATATATGCTCATTGTTGGGGGATCTAGATACTACTGAAATATCAGGCCAACTGCCATAGCTTTAGATACTGGATGTCTTCCCCTGCATATGTTGATCCTTGCTAATTAGAAGACAGAGCCCATTGAAGAAGCACTTAAGCCCCCCCTTTTAAAGTAAAACCTTCCCAAAACACCAATTTTAATTTAAACAGCTTCATATCAAGCGTGATAAAAATCTGAAAATCTGAAATTCTCACAAGGTGCAGATCTCCGGATGGAAATAGGCCTTTTCACTGCAGACTTTCTGACTCGTCATTGTAAGAAAAGCACAGGTGTTACTAATAACATTAACACTGGCTCCATTATATTCAAGTGTCCCAAAAAGCCATGGCAGTGTGACAGTGAGCCACTGCACAATACCAAGACCCTGAAACTGAAGCAGCTAAATGGAATTAATTCAGCCATTTCATTCAGCAATTTACACCTGTGCTTTTTCTACTGTGACATGTAAATTTTTTCCCATGGGGCCAAGATCTCAGGGGGTGATAATACACCTAATAACCCTGCCAACATGTAGATTCTGAAAACTCATCACTGTTTTGTCTGGGACTAATCCTGTTGTCTAGTGGTTGTACCAGGGTTGACTGACCGACCGGGCAAAATGTTCCTGTTGAATCGGCTTTGAGGTGCTTAAAATGACACTATTACAAACATAAGATGCCATTGTCAATTTGCATATACAAATATAGCAGTCTACATGAAAGCTACATAAGCATAAATTATATTTCCCCCGTTTTATGTCTATATTTGTTACTTTCTCCACAGAGCATCTTCAACATATGCTGAACTCAGCCAAGATTTAACCATGAAACCATATCTGAGAGTCTTGTTATGGAGCACACACACACACACACACACACACACGCTCATCAGCTCTTGGGAGAAGCAGAGAGGAGATCCGTCCAACATATCCCTTTGATTTTTGGGGCTCATTACATTCTGTAGAAATGCTGTCCAGAACAGCTTCATGCAAAAACATGGCAGTTTATTTTGTATGGCTGGCTTTCTTTCTCAGACTATGCAGGCAGGTGTTTAAGGGGGGAGTGTATGTGTGTGTGTGTGAAAGCGGAGCAGTCTTACCCACCCTCCACTTTTCTCTAGCAAACAAAATGATGGAAGAAACCTGGAATGGCGCTCAGGACAGAGAGGTGTTACGAATTTAGTAGAAAGCAAAAAGGTATATTTGATAATCTGTCACTAAAATGAAACGGTCCTTTGCATTTGTAGCTGTGGCTTCTCAGCAGCACACAAAACTGGGGTTGTATTCATGACTCCGGTGGAGAGGAAGCAAATCACATATTACTGTGACGTCCTGGGTTGAAAACTGCCTCTCTTGACTGTCAGCTATTGAATAAAGCAAATGACAAACATGGAGCAAAACAATAACCTGAATAAACAAACAAACAAACAAACAGAGAAATAATTAAATCCATTAAATTTAAATAAAAAGGGGATTACTGGATTGTCCCTGCAGGAACACTCCTGTCCCGTTGCAAATCATGAAACAGCAGATAAAAGCAGAATACCAGGGATTTGGAAGATTGCGGAATGTCAAATGGGAATTATGCCTAAAAGAAAACACACATTTACTACTCAACGACCCTTGATACAGTTTCTCCGGCATAACATCCCACGACAGAAACACACACACACACACGGGCACACACTATGATAGACACAGCGAGGAGGCTATGTCTCACCGGTGGCATGTTCACAGCAATTACAGACAAAGCTGAAGGAGGCAAGCGAAGAAGTAATGCTCCTGAGAACTCATCGGTTACCATGGAAACGTCGGCTTCTGAATGAATTTGCTGGAAAAGGAGAGCGCAAGAGAGATAGAGTCCAAATTGTAGCATCAACTATACAAACACCCTCTCCCCATCCCCTGGACTGCCAGGAGAAAGCAGAGGCTGAATTTCCCAATGCGTCTTACGAGTGTTACCGATGCCTGCAGCCACTTGTACCATACATACACAACATGTTGTTATGTTTGTATTTTTTATCCCCCAGAGTGCCACACAACGGCATGAGCAAATACATTTTAAACATTGACATAATTTGCAAGAAGGAAAAATTTTCTGCTGTGTTGTCACACAGCATAAGCAAAGAAGAAGGCACACATTCGCACTATCCTATCTGAGCCACAGCACTGTGAAAACCAATCCTAACCAGCATTTTACCATCTAGAATGATTTTCGTTCCCCAGACCAAAATACTGCCGCACTGATGCTGTGCACGTCGGCTAAAATGCAACATTCAGATCTCCACTGTGCACTTATATTAAAACCCGTGACGGTGTTTTTGTTATCACTGCAACCAAAATCTGTTCACCTGCAGCAGAACATTCCCCCACCATATTCTGCGCCATCACTTACTCGTCATATTTAATGTGGTAAATTACATCCTCTTCTCTCTCCTTAGTCTCTGTAGCTGCTGTAGAGTCTGTCTGAGAGGTGGAGGCTCCATTACTCTCAGAGCTTAACACAACATTATTCCTGTTACTGTCTGTGGTTTGGCCCTGGCCGAGGGCCTGTCCCTGCTCGGCCTCCAGCTTTCCATTAGTCCTTTTTGGGGGCCGGCCCACCTTGCCCTTGGTGGGCGTTATCTGTCCTTTGGGAGCGCGTGTCACATTTTCGATGCAGGCCTCAAACCAGGCACCAATGCTGACGTCTCTGCAGTCCACCAACTCGTTAATCTGAGAAGACACAAAGACAAAAAAATAACACTTGGTCTTTTTTTTTTTACCTGTCTGTTGTTTAAAGAAACACGCCACGTTTTAGCCCATCACAGCACTTCATATACTTTGAATTAAAAGCATTATCAATAAATTCGTTAGACTACTCACATGAACTATTACCAACAGCATCCTGGAACTTAAGAGGAACTCATTAAAATACAAGAGCAATGTGAGTAATGGGAGTTATAGGCATTTTGTAGTAAATGCTAAAAACATTCTTTTTTAGCATTCAATGTCTTAGCGAGTCGTGATGTTAATCTTCAGATGTTCACAAAGAAACTTGAAAATAAATGCCACCCGTGGCACCGTTCCTACATGTTCCTTTGTGAAAACCACATAAAATATGCACCGACTCTGTAGTGAATGCTTAAAGCCTGTAAAAGCATTTGACCTTGATATTCAGTGAAGTTGCACAATTTACAACATCTCTACTTAGTTACATTATTGATCTTTCTGAATGCTAGATTGGGCTTTTGGCATCAAAAAGACTCTAGTCCCACACATAATTGTCAGTCATGTGGGTCAGCCAGCCAGCCAGAAAAGTTAGAGTGGACGCACCAACATATGGGTTTCGACTGTAGTCTATTTATTATCTGTCAGTTGGTTAGTGACAGGGTTTTATAAAGACCTGATCCGTATGTATGGTTTGGCATGCGCTCCCCTGGCAAGGTGAGCCACATGCCTGTGTGCATGTCATTAGTCCTTGTAAATTAAAGGCATTTAGGTATTATACTTAAAAACAGAGCACTTAACTTGTGAGAAAGGATACATTTGGCACTCTCACACAAGGAAACACATAAATACAAGCAGGCTCGGGTCATTTCGGCTAGAGGACTCTATCTAAGCATTCTGCAAGACAGTGGGGAAAGGAATAGAGGCCTCCTTAGCCAAAAAAAGTAATCACCACATGCATGAGGGAAACTGAAATCATAGTCATTTTTTTCCTTTGACTATTTTTGCTATGTTCAAAATAGCGGTATTACAATCTGCTGCATAGTATTAAATACAAATCTAGGACGGCATATTAAGGTATAAAACCTTTAAAAGCATGCACCCTTGTTTCATGTAAGCTAAAGTACGCCATTGACTAATTCTGATACTGATGTGGTTTGGAGTTTTCAGCAGCAGTGGAGCACAAGATACATTCATAATTTGATCCGACATCCAAACAAATAAGAGTGCCCTGCCTGAGAACCTCTGGCAGTGATGTGGCATGTAGGACATTTCTTGCAAATACTTCCCAAATATTTACACTCACCTTGTACACACCAACTCCTGGGTCAGCTAGTGTGTTTCTGCTGGATGTGGGGGGCTGGGTGTCCCGCGCCGGACTGGAGGACTTGAACCCATTTTTGATACTGGCTGAGTTACTGGTAGCGCTGGTGTCCGGCTTGGTTTCGTTAACAGTGCTGGTAGTGACACTGCTGCTGTCATTGTCTATATTTGTGGAGGTTTCCATAGCAGCGGGGGAGGCCGGAGCTGGGGAACTGTGGCTTTCTGACCTGAAGTCAGGGGGTGGAGCTGAACTACAGGGAACACCAGAGGAGTCCTTGGCGGCGGGGCTGTCTGGAGAGTCTGTCTGTGAGCGAATCAGCAGCTGGACGATGTCATTGAGACCCACGTTATAATCAAACAGTGTTTGGCCATCTTCCATCTGAAAAGATAGAAGTAAAAAAAATCCACTGACATGTATAAACAGGCACAGATGTACAGATAGCAAAATACTGTATTTAGAGCTACAACACACAATTATTTTTATTATTTATTAATACACTCTTTTTTTCTTAATTAATGATCTAGTCCACAAAATGGGGGAAAAAATGTATTCATTTCACATTGATATTAAAAAGCAAACCAATACCTTTAACTAGAACAAGTTTTTGTTTGTGATGAATCACTTAAACAAGTAATGATCAAATTCATCAACCAGTTGTTCAGAAATAATTGTATCCTATTTTACCAGGATCAACTTGCCCAAACATGGTGTATTTGAACAATTGCACAAATGTCCATAAAGACAGCCTTTATTAAATTTCCTCCCAAATTTATTTCCTAATAGACATCCATGTGATATGAAATTAACACAACTGCGCCATGCAGCACCCTCAGACAAATACACTCGGCTGCTTGTGAAGGACAAACAAAGAACACAGAACACAGAAGACAACGATGAGCACAGTGAGAGAAAACAACTATGTGTCGTTACTGCACTCGACAGCATACAGGGGAAATTAAAAATACACCGAGGATGTTGCTTAGGAGTCCACATCTGTTCTCAAATGAGCCAATGCTCAGCTTGTGTTTAAATACATATAACTGTACATCAAAGTGAACCGCTGACGCTTTTTTTTTTTTTATACTTACAAAAAGGAGGAAAAAAAACATTTGTAACAATGAGCACTTTTGACTGGTAAGCTGTTACTACTGATTAGCCACGCTTGTATTAGGTTACATGTCTGGTCCAATAGAAAGTGCAAACTGCGGCTCTACTCGCATATGTACCACACCGGTTTTCTACAAGAAACTAAAGAAATGAATGCATGAATTAAAGTGATAGGAGATGTAGCTGGGGGAAAGAAATGACTGGGTTGCTATGACAACCAAAAGAGAGCACCCCCATGAACCTGAATCATGTACACAATCTCTGTCGACACTAACCCACCACCACCACCATCAGCACGACCCTTTCTGGCAGCGCGGTTTATGGGCATCAGAAAATGGTTCTCTCTCTCTCTCTCTCAAAAAACAAAAAACAGCTCTTGAGAAAATGATGAAGGCCCATTAGAAACCCATATTTACTCTTCACCACAACCAATCTGTTGTTTTAAGTATACAGTACAGCTACTGCCTTAGGAATGGAGCTTATGGCAGACACGCAAACTCATTATAGACATCAGCTATTCATTTCAGCCCTCAACCCCACAAGCCCATTGTACTGGAGAAGCGAGCATGGCCGCCACTCTCACTCGCGCTCCCTTTCTCCTCTTCGTTATTTGACAGCGAGGAGGAGAGCGGTCGGAGGCGTAGCAGGAGAGCAGTAGAGGGAGCAAGCGCAATTTCCCCATCCCTCCCTGTTTTTAATAGTCTCATGAAATTTAGATCAGAGAAGCAGTGGTGCAAAAACAGCCATACAGTGGTTGCTATACTCACTTGTCTGTCTTTCTCTAGTAGTCTATCTCAGCAATTCTTTGTCTGTCTCCCAGCCTAAACTCGATCTTCGATTTAGTCTCAGTAATTGTCTATCCTCCTCTGTCTTGTGTTACGTGATAGCTCATTAAGGAAAGAAAGGCAAACAAACCGAAAACATCCTACACAGACAATAAGATTGCTGGGACGTGCAGCAGGCAGCCTCACAGTAGAGACGTACTGGGTAGATGGACGAAGAATTACGCAGACCTGAGTATCAGAACAACATACAGTAGAATTCCATTCACCACACCAAACCTCATAAATGATGTCTAAGTGGTACCCGCTTTCCACAGCGACTTCACTGTGTGATCAATCTCTCATCAGTAATAACCAGCTGAAGAATCCTTAAAGCAAAGAACCATCATCTAAACAGGCAACAGAAATGCTTTCTATATTCAAGAAAGTCAAGATCTTTTTAGGCAGAATTATTGGCATTTTTACTCTCTCTAGCATGTAGGACGAATAACATCACCAAGGATATTTCTCCATCATCATAAATAATGCAGAACAATGATGATAATAATAATACTAATAAGAAGAAGAATGCTTCTGGTATCTTCATTATGTGACTCAATGAAATGTTCAATGTTCCTGGGGGAGACTTCAGTCCCGAGCACACATCATAACAAAGCTTTAGACAAACCAGAGACACTTGACTAGAACCTTTCTCAAAAGGCTCAAACAAATCAGTGTCACGAACCCTGGCATGGCAACGATGTGTGTGTGCGTGTGTGCTTGCACGTGTAAACGTGTTTCACATTGAGTGGAATACAATTAACACCTCTCCACAAGGCTAATTTCTCTGTTGCATTTCGACAGGCAGTACAATCAAACTAAGGCACGAGAAAGACCTGTGGCTGCTGAGATACTGTAAAAACATACTGAACATGTAGAGATAAATTTGACCTCATATTGCTATATCAGCTTTTCTGATAATATGAGAATATTATAATAAATCTACAGCCAATAATACTTATTATAGAGCAGAAACTGCAGGTGGGGAGAAATTTGACTGTAATATTGCTTTCGATTTCATTTTCATTATCGTGCCAACATGCTGTCACGCAGTATCTTTTTGTAAGGCTTTATAAGCTCTTAATGCAGAAATCATTCTGACATTAAAGTAACTAAACAACACTTACTTAGTTTATATGCCCGCATAACAGTTACGTAAAGGTGGACCAAATTGAAAGACTAAGAAATCATACTGGCCCATTTAATGTCAGTGCCTAGTTTTAACAGTGGGTTTAAAAGTGCGAAACCCAAGCCAGACCCACACGGCTGGTGGAGAGGAGATTTCACAGCAGAGCATAAATTAGCCTCTTTTGCTCAGGCACGCCATCCAAACCCCTTACTCCTACACGGTTTCTTCTTCTTCTTCTTCTTCCCTTGTCTCCGCCCACAGGCCCTCTTAGCAAAATAGGTCATGTTTCCAAAAAACAATGACATGGGGTGTGTCTGTGTGCCTGCCATCTACCAAGCTTCCATCTTTGATCTTTTATCCCTCATTCTGCCCACAGTCATTCAATCTCACCAAAATGTTCCACTGTTAATTAGCACAGAATGGCATAGTGGAAAGGTGACAAAGGTTGTCTTTCTTTTGCAGCTTTTTTCATTACTTGATGTTAGGAAGCAGAGCTGCGTTTTATCAATTTTATATCTTGCTCAGATTTGTTTACCAAAATCACTTTTCTGCTAGTTTGAATGGAGGTCATCACTATATTGATGGTATAATTCCAGAGAATAGACAATGTTGAACTAATTAATAATGAAGGGTTATCAAAGATGTATTGACTAAACAGGTACATGTGTACTCAATCACTGTAGATGGATATTCTATGCTACAGAAATTGTGGCGCTTTTGTTTTCTGCGAAGCCCCTCTGCGAGCAATATGTGAAACTCACTCACACGATCGCGATAGATCATAGATTGGCACGCTCCAATATGTTGTTTCAGAATGAGGCAGGAAATGAAAGACAGAACGGACGAGATGGAACAAAGCACGTACTGTGTTTACGTAGTTTTTGTTACTCATTGTGTAGTCCCAGTTAACATGTGTGTGAAATCTGGAATCGCCCAATTCATTCTTAAATTATGGCTAAAAACCTACTTTGAGGTTGCAATGACCTTTGAGTCAAGAGTGTCACCAATTTGGTGTCCGACCAACTGTGAAATATGGTCACAATCTCCCCTTCTGCTTCTGAGTTAAGCTGTTTAATAATGGCAAAAAGTGTTTTTCCAGGACATGAGGTCACAGTGAAGTTGACCTTTGACCTTTTGGGTTATATCCCATTAAACATCTGTTGCAAATGTTGTCATAATTACCGCAGTCTTGAGTTATCGCCAAAAACATGTTTGTCAAGGTCATTTCGAGGTCACAGTGACCTTGACCTTTGAGACAAAAGCGTTCCCAAGTCACTGTCCGACCTATTGTGAAATAAGGTCATCAGTTTTGGAGTTATGGCAAAAAACGTGCTTTGTGAGGTCACAGTGACATTGACCTTTGACAACCAAATTCCAATCACTTCACCCTCGAGTCAAAGTGGATGTCCCAAATTTCAAGAAATTCCCTCCCTGAGATATTGCGAATGGAGCGAACAAACAACCCCAAAACACAATGCCTCAGGCCACAGCTATCATGGCGTGGAGGCGTAAAAACAGTAGGGAAACCCTGCTATTCACAATGCAGGTGTAAGACCTCACAGTTTCCAGGTAGGCCACTTAACCATTTCGCAAGCTAAAGCTACTGTGACAAGATGTGGCAAAACTATGAAAACGTGTGAGAATGTTAGAAAGCCTGCAGTTCTAGTCTAGGTTTAGTGCCTCTCTTTGTCTTTGCTCTTTGTCCAGCCAATCTGTCGAAGAAGGGTGTGACTGTGTACACGCATGGCTGCAGCCAACTCTGCTTCCCTGAAATTCTCTACAAAATTCTAGAGCTTAGCAATACCCAAATAAAACCCCATCAATCGAGGAGCTGCAACATCAATGTATGCATAATCAAATTGTTATGATATCTAGGTCACAGCAACTGTCTGTGTGAGCGAGCCAATGAAGCTTTCCTGCAGCCCAACAATAGGCAACAGCTAACAGTGGACGACAGCCCAACTACTTAAACATGAAACATGTTGCTGCCTCAGTAGGGGAAAAAAACACAAGTGAACTACAACCTTATATTTGAAGCGCATGGACGCAATACAAGCTGAGCTTTCAACCAGTTAATAAACCAGCCAAACCTTTTGGTTTTTTTTTTAAATTACTAACTGAGAAGTCTACTGCAAAAGTGAGTGTGGGCGTTCAGCAGAAAGGCTGCACGGACAGTGAAAGGTGTGTGTGTGTGTGAGTCTGCTCGTGCATGCGAGTGGCATGAGATGTTGTTCAAAGTGAAACAGAGAAACAATGGGGAGCGCACAGGCAAACTGAATAACGCATCAGAAACAAACAAATGAGGCAAAGTTGTGTGGCTGCTGGCTAGAGACCCTTCCGACTGAAGGGCAAGCATGACTTTGAACTGGCGAGGCTGCGTGCACAGTGAGCTGGAGGGAAAAACAAGGCGCCATTTTGAAAAGGAATTAGACTGAGTTATTCTGCTACAAGTCAAAATCCTAACAGAGCGCAGGCACCACTCCAAGCATGTAAGGGCACTAGCTAATGTACGCTGCATGTCACCGGCTCATTCCTTGCATTACTTAACACATGGAAATCCCCTAATTAACACTCCCCACTTGTTTTCCAGTTAAATGAAGGAAGCACTGCTTTACTACACGGGCCTAGCCTTTGCAAACATAGCTCCGTGACATGACAACTCCTGCATAAGAGATAATTAAATGTCAATAAAGCAAATGTAAATGAACTACATTGCTGCTACTACTGAAGAAGCTCTGTGCTCTGCATCCTAAGGCACTGGTGCAAAAGGTGCAACACAATATCTCCTATCTTTTTTCATAATAATGGATTGCCATTATTCGGTTCGCCAAATAAAACATTGTTTTTGACAAAAAGCCTACAGAGATGAATACAACAGTAATCTTGGCATTAAAATCTCTCCTTGACTATTCCAAAAAAGTTCTTGAAGTTTTCTTTCCTCTCCGTCCTGCAGTATACAGCACGCAGAGAAGGAAATTAGCCCATTGTGGCATATATGACTCAGAAGTGAATGTTAGAGACCTCATTATCATTTAATTACACAACAGGAAGTAGGTTGGACAACTTGAAAATACAGAAAACCCTTTATAAAGAGGAATTTCTTGGCCTATAATACCGCCTGACACATATGAATGAAGCAAAGTGTGACTAAATGTAAACAATGTGAGATCAACACATCACGTAGGCTGTTTGCTTCCTGGGGGCTTATCTGTCTGGCTGAGTCATACTGTGTTAATATCAGCTTTGTAATGTTATGCTAAAATACTAAATAAATCATGGCACCAGCGTCCTGCCAGCAGTGAGCATGCTTATTACTGATAGAATAACAGCTGGTGGGGTGAAGGCTTTCAATAACCTTTCACACATTATACACATTAAGATTTGGTGGGTCAGTCTTCCAGTCTTTTACATTTTGACTCATTTATATACTGAATGTTCACATATTTGAACAAAACGAACATAAATAGTGAAAGACTTCTGACTTCTGTTCCGACTGAACTCTTGTCATATTAAAGCACTACACCTAAGGGTGCAAGATATACCGTACATTTTACCAATTATAACAGTTGAAGTTACAACGCGAGTGTGTTTCTGTGGTGTGTGGTAGATCATAAAAAAGTAAACCACAGGCTCTGAGGCTGCACGCTGCATGCAACCATCCGCCATGACGCACACAAACTCATGTGTCCATGTCAGTACGGCAGCTTAAGGTTTTCATACCACTGTCTTTCCTAACTGCTGGCATTTAAAGTGACACTGCAGTACTGGCCCAAACATATTTTTCCCAGAGCAATGAGTCTACCAACAAAGATAATGTATGACTGAAAACCATATTATATTATTCAATATAATAAAAGGTTAGGGTGGGCTGTATGGACAAAATCTGTGTTGTACAGTATAATATATATTATAATAACATCACATATTTCACATAATAATGCCATTTACAGTCCCAAAAACCACATGCTAAAGCTAAAGTTAAATTCATGTTGCTTAAGTATTTGACATCTAATTCTGCTGTGACAGAAAACCTTAACTTATCAGAATTAAGTCAAAATAACTTTACTATGAAGAATTTGTCATGATACAATTATATGGAGAAACAAGGTGCTTAGGTATAAACTGGCTCCAATTCTGACATAATCAGACAAGTATAAGGTGTAGTTAACCCAAACAAAAGAGAAAAAATGTGCTATCGATCACATTTTGGTGAAGTTAAACTAAACAGAGATATAATAAATTGTCTGCTTGATATTTCATTTTCACTGTGCATTACTGATATTAATATTACATTGTAATTATGGTTAGATTTGAACTATTAGTAAATACTGAATAATTGCCTTACAAATCCAAATCATATGGTACAGAAGTAAGGCTTAATGTTTGGAAACGGTCCTGGGTTAAATACAAAACTTGCCTAGGCAGCATGCCACCCATCCATCTGAGTCTGTGTGCTATTATTTACAGCAGACAGCCCTGTCTGTCCTCGCTGTACAGTGTGCATACCATAGTGACGCCAGGGTGTAAACACAACTACACTTGCTGTTAGATGTCAGGGCACGTGGAGCCCCGAGTCCCCTCCTCCCTCAAATTATCATTAATATCATCATAACACACCACATGCACAAGCCTGATGGCTCACTAATGTGATCAGTACAGCTTAGAGCCCCTGGTTCCACATGTTACAGACACAACATAGAAATGAGATAGATATTCAGGCACAGTGGCTGCTACCTGTGTAAACCAAGCTGCCGTTAATTCAGTTAAACATGTGCTCCTCGGTGAGATATGTAGGCAGTTTGCTTGCACTGCACTACTTTGGTCTACATGTGGAATAGCAGAGGGCGATGTTCTCTTTTCTCTCCCGCGGCAATGTAAACAAACATGTCTACGGCGGTGAGACATTTGTTGCATGCGGGTCTCCTCAGCGCCAACCCAAACAATGTAATGTGGCTCCATACCAGGACCATACATCCATGTCATATCGCCGTTTTTCTCAGGGGCTGGCACACCGCGTACCCCGGGCTCTTGCGCAAGAACTATTGGCGAATTCCTATCAAAACAGGAAGCTCGCATGGGTCCGAAACGGCTCCAACACCAGAGGACCGCTCACTCTCTCCGCCAGCACCAAGCCCTGCCAGAGCATCAAACATCGACTGTAGGCTGACGGGGTGACAAAAATTACGTTTACCTGCTTCCCTCGGTAGAAGAGGCGCTGCTGGGGTGGGCTTACATTGAAGATGTCCTGTATTTTCAACCGTAAAGACTCAATTTTGGTCAATCTAGAAAGATCCTCCACGGTTCGCGTCTCCTTCCCGTCTATCGTACGAACCTGGATCCACATCGTTGTACCGCCCTGTTACGCCTCAAATAAATAGCGGATAAAGCAGTATTTCTATACGAATGTTGTCTTCCAGGGGGGTTAAAGGAGAGAGAAATGAAAACTGTTCAGGGCTCCATTGCGTTTTCCTCTGCAGAGGTAGCGTCGGACTGGCTCGCGCAGGAGGTGTCTCACATGAGGTCGCGGCGCCAAGCAAATCTCGCGAAATAACGTTTAAGCGAGCACAGTTTACAGTTAAAGGCACAGCTTCCCCTTCACAGCACGTAACAGCAGTGGGCTACTGTTGCAGCGGTAAAACCTACAACTTAACAGTTTTATAATATGTCTGGGGACAAGAAATGGGGACCAGGAGTTTATTAATGTGTTCTCCCTGTCAATAGCATAAACCTTTTTCTACAGTTCAATGAATGACTGAATCAGTGGTGGAATGGTAGCCTACATTTTGAGGCACTAATTTATTTCCATTTTATCCTACTTTATTCATTTTCTTCACTAAATGTTTACACCTCTACATTTGTCTGTCAGTTACTTTGCACATTTCTATGCAAAATATATGCATATAAGAATTATTGGTAAAGCTAATATGGCCAATATGTAATAGTATAATTCTGACAGAGGACATTCCGCTACATAATGAGTGCTTTTACTTCCTGACCCCCCTCCCCAATGCATTGTGTACAGCATTTCTATGATGGAATATTACAAAGTCCCAGGTTTACTGTATGGCAACTTCATTAAACACAAATGGATTCATGCAACATCTAGGCACAGTATCAAATGAGATAATTACAGTTTTAAAGCTAGATTTTGACACAGACTCTTCAAGAAAGGGCCTCAAGATCAGCCAATAACGCGGGACTCAACTAAAGGTTGATCATGTCTTCTGATATTGATCTTTAATAGTATATCCCTATATTCTCAAATAAAATTACAGTTAATCAAATTTCAAAGCAATGACCACATAGTGAACATGGCGCTTTTATTGCCCAGGGCAGTCGCTCTCTTTCTCAGGATTGTATTCCAGTTTTGGTTTAATGTAGGAGTATATCACAGGATTAACCTAAAGACTAAATACCAAGTCTCTTGTATTCCAAAAAAGATTATAAATATAAAACTGCAGAATATTCAGGATACTGCTGTCATAGTTCTGACAAGCATCAGTAAAACTGAGCCCATTGGTTTCCAGTTAATTATAAAATTGATTTAAAGGTTCTGCTGCCTGTTCACAAATCACTTAACAATCTTGGCCTAAAATACAAGCCTGGTATGCTTGAAAAATAAACCTAATATGCCCTAGACCTTACAGGAAGCAGCCAGCTAGTAGTACCTCCTGAACCAAACTGATATAGTATATTATTTTTGTGTGGGTAGGGCTGGAGCCAATCCCAGCTGACATCGGGCAAAAGGCGGGGTACACCCTGGACAGGTCACCAGTCCATCACAGGGCCACAGACAAACAACCACTAACACCTAAGGACAATTAACAATTAAGACACCAATTAACAATTAAGACACCAATTAACCTAGCCTGCATGTCTTTGGATGGAGAGAACCCACATGGACATGGGGAGAACATGCAAACCAACCAGGGTTTGAACCCACAACCTTCTTGCTGTGAGGTAACAGTGCTAACCACTGTACCACCGCACTGCCCTACTTAATATTATATTATAATTAATTTTTACCTTTTCATTACTGTTTTAAATGTTGTAATTCCATTATGTAAAGCCCTTTCCTCTGTGTGTGGCTTAACTTGACAGAGGAGTAGACAAAATCATTTTATACATTTTATGTAGGAATAATGAAACAGTGTCCCAGTTAAGCCTTTTGTCATAAGACAATCCATATTATAACACATTTTTCAAATAGAAGGTAAATCCACAAAACTCAAAATACCAGATCAAAACCTTTTTTCCCATGTTTGCCTCAAAAACTACTTTATCCAAAACATATAGTAGAAGCCTCTTAAAGCCCCCCAATAATGCCCATTATTATGGGCCAGGCTCTGCTTGTGTCCCTCAAAGTATTGCACACAGAATTTATGACATAGTGTATAAAAAATTTGGTCTACATTTCACTGAAAACGCCTTGCCTGATAAATACCTCCTAGCTGAGCTAAAATCACTGAAAAACACGCCTCTGGTGGCATAATTGCTTGATTAACACTTGTCCCAGCTGGAAACCTCTGCAACATGCCACCGGCAGTGACTGTCGGTTTAAGCCAGTATCTGCTTGCTTTCCTGATGATGCTGCATGTTCTGTCCTTTGCTCATGTGAATTAAAGACCTGACAGTAGTTTTAAAACAATGACGGGTGCTAAATATACTAAGACTGTTTTACATATCAATCTGGAGATAAACAACTAGCCTACAGCGACATCTAGCGGTCATAAGTGAGTCATACGTGCTGCTAAAGTTTACACCATACATGGAGCAGTAACCTTAGTGGTCAGTTATGAATGAGAGTTTACAGTCTGATGGTGTTGATTCGTTGCTTGCTTTGCGCAGTAGCCGTGTTGATAATGTGCAATTTCCCCTATTTTTATGAAATGACCAGTGTCTCGAGATGCGCTGTCTGTCAATGACAATGGGTGACACAATCAAAATAAGGTTAATAATATAGTGTAAGGTGAGTGCGTGTCACCCTGAGCTCCAAAACAAAAACAGCAGTCTGGTGTGACACGCGACCAGCTAACTACGTCAGGCTGCGCACATTTGCATCGGGCGCACGCAGGGTGGATGGGAAGTGGATGGTAACGTTACGGGAGTCTTCAGGCAAGCCAGACAGAGTAGTCGGTTACTAGCTTTTTGTAAACCATACAGGGCTCAAAACAAATCTGACACAGCGCACATTTTTCTGTAAAGTTAAGCTATCCATTTTTACGTGTCACCAAGTAGCTGTTAACTTGCAAGTCTAGCTGGTTAGCCGGATGGCTAGTGAGAGTAAACTGTTATGCATTGTCAGACAATCAGCTAGTGTTACTCCGGCTAATGCTCCTTAAGCCATCTTGCTGTCACTGACATGACTCCGTGCGCTGACGGCATGAGATGTCTGCATAACTTTTTATCTGCTGAACATTTAATTGCTACAAAAATTCCACTATGGACAGCGAACGCAGCAATTGCAGGCCCCAGATTGGAGACAATAGCAAGCTAACCTAGCTAGCAAGCTGTCGTGGCTACTAAGCTTGCTGAAAGCCGTCTTGCCTGGTGTGTGTCTGGAGCCGCACTGAAAACGTCGAGGTTTAACCAGCCAAGCTCTGCCTCTGGTCAGTTTCTTTGGTCTTGTTTTGCACGTGATCACGGGACGGGACGTGATAATGGCATTCACTGTAGATCTCGTTATGAGCAAGAAGAACAAACTTTGTTTACTTGTTTTTTAAACTATTGTTAGCTAGCTCGCTAAGAGCTAACTTCAAGCTAGCTAGCTATTGATCCATGGAAAAGAAAAAGTTTGCAAAGATCAGACAGGGAGATAAAGTAAGCTGAACTGAAAATAATTTGGACACAGTCACACGAGGTAACGTTAAACACCCCAGTGAGTCACCATGTGGCTCTGATAGTGTGAGCACCTGCCATGACAGGATTTATTATGTCAGCAAACTTAGGTATGTTAGGTGTAAACACCTCATCTCCCTAGTGTAACTTATTTTGGGCCTCGCATTATAAATACTTAGTAGTCTTGTTCTAGTTTTCCCTTATATAAAAAAATGTTGCAGTGTTGTTTGCAACATCAAAGTGCATCGTAGGTGACACCTGTTACCCAATCAGGTACCTGCACCATGGATCAGGAGGATATGACAGACCAAATCACAACAGCTGATAGCCAACCATTGTTCCACAACAAAGACCTGACTGGGACTGACCAAGACTCAGCACCCCAGCAGCCCAGCTCAAACATCATGTCTTCACAACACAAATGGGAGAGCAGCTGCACAGAAGATACTGATCTGGTCATAACTGAGGATGGGCTCAGTAATGGCACCTATGAAGTTGAGACTGTGGTGGCATTACACTGTCCTGGTGACAATGAAGATGTTGCTGCTGAGGGTGACCACCTTGCACTGAGCAACGATGGAATGTCTGAGTTTTCTAACAGTGACCTCTCCCTGCCTGAGGTCTGCATTTCCACCAATAGCAATAGCTTTGAGGAGGATATGAACTATGAGGTCCAGCAAGCTTATAGGATATTCACTGGCTTTCTCTTGGACAAGCACAAAGGGATCACCAGTCCGTTCCTCCATCCCATTGGCCACCAGGAGGCCCAGCATGGTATCGGAGGGGTCCGGGGCTGGGGTCAGGCACAGCTCAAGCAGTCAATGTGCTTGCAGAGGATGGAGGACAAGTTTATAAATCAAGAGTATGAGACCATAACAGAGTTTGTTGCAGACTTCAGGCTGATGTTGGAGAACTGTTATCGCTACCATGGGGTTGACCACTGGATCTCCAAACAGGCTCAAAAGCTGGAAATCATGCTGGAGCAGAAGCTTACATTGCTATCCAGGTAAATTACACTGTTAAACAAATGGTTTAGCTGGCAAATGCTCTAAACCATTATACAGCTGCAATCATAGAGGCCCCAAAGGTTTTTTTCCTGTGTCATCTGCATCATAAGTTAGTGTTGCTGGGCAGCAAATGTTTGTCTGGCAAGGTCAGCTCACAAACTTTTAGCAGATGCAGTTTTTGAAATATAGTAAGTAGTAGAATTACTATATTGCCAGCCAGTAGTTTCTACACAGCATAAATGTAAATTATCTATAGTATTTTTATTATGAATAATAATAATAATAGTCGTTATTATTAATTATTATGATTATTATTAATGAGACAATGGGAGTCTGTTCACCAGCATACTATGATCTCACAATCATATTATTGATTAAATATTTGCTCAAAATAGCTGCAAATACATTTTTTATTTATTAATAACAACTGTTTGGCTGTTGGAATAGCATAGATGTACTGGCCGTTTACTTCCAACAATCCTGACATCTAGTCAAGTAA